ACCCTGCACTTGTCCGTATTGAAACGCATCCTGTTCCTGTCTGCCCACCCCTGTAACCTATCCAGATCCTTCTGCAATCTCTCTCTCCCTGCTAGCGTGCTCACCTCCCCCCAAATTTTGGTGTCATCAGCGGAAGCACTTTCTCACGAGGAGGGAGGTGCAGCACGGGAGCAGGCTCCCCCGAGCGGTGGTGCAACCTCCATCCTTGGAGGTGTTTAAGACCCAACTGGACCAAGGCTTGGCTGGGATGATGGAGCTGGGGCTGGTCCTGCTTGGAGCAGGGGGTTGCACTAGATGTGACCTCCCCATGTCTCTTCCCACCTGAATTGTCATGCTTCTGAAGTGTGACACGCGTGGGACGGGCGTGTCAGACAAGCGATACGGGGCCAGGGCTTTCGGGCTCCTCTCTCCTCCGCACGGGGCTGCCGAGCCCCAGAGGGAAGCCGGAGGGAGTCTGAAGCCGGCGTGGAACAAAGCACCGTACGGGGAGAGAGACCCCGTCGCAGCGGTCTCCAGACCCCACGGGCATCCCGGTGTCTCCTGGCTTTATCCAGCGCCCTGCTCCATGTCTCAGGGGGCTGTTAAGCTTCCCCACCCCTGAGGCGCTGGGGATGGGACCGGGCTGTGCCAATGCTCCTCCTGGCACCAACCCCGCAGGGTCCTGGCTGGAGGGTCTCGCCCCCGCGCTCAGGCTCAGCTCAATGCTGCACTGGGGCCAGGAAGATATTTCCCCACCCCACTCAGACTGGTCCAGACTGGGAGGTCTTGCCTTCCTCCATAACAGGGGCACAGCCTGGCCTGGGCTCTCTGGAGCACCTATTAACAACCTTTTAATTAGCGGGGATTCTCCATGCACCCTCCTGCTCCAGGAGAATCCCCGCTGGTGGCCCGCAGGATTTGGTGCAGGACATGCACTAGGCAAATGAGATTGGCACTCGCAGCCCCCCTGCAGCAAGGTGGACGGTCGTCTCCCGGGGCGGGGTTGGATGCTGGGCTTGTCCGGGCTGCTTTGGACGGGGCTGATCCTGCCCCGGGCCGGGATCGGACTAGACGTGCCCTTTGGGGGTCCCTGCCGGCCCCGCGGCCTGAGGAGGCTGCAGCAAAGAACCCGGCTGCGACACCCCCCGCGTGGCGCGCTCCCGCCTGCCCGGGGGTGAACGGAGGAGCTGGGCGCGGGGTGGGGGGACCCCAGGACTTCCTTGCCGGATGATTCCCAGCGGGGCGAGAGCAAAGGGGTCTCCTCACCTGGGTGGGACGCGACTCCTTTCTCGACCCCGTGTCAGGTGAGGGCCACCAGCGCCAGCCACTGCAAGACCAGAGGGGAGGGGGCTTCAGCACGGCCGCGGGGGTCTCCGCTGGGCAGACCCCGGGCGGTTTCGGGCCCCTCTTACCTCCTGCTGGGTCATGGTCACCACCCCGTCGCCGTTGCGGTCCCGCTCCTTGCACAGCCCTGCGCAGAGGGGGCGGGGGTGAGTGCACGGGCAGCACACGTGTGTGCACGGGGCTGAGTTTGCAGCCCCTCGCACACGCGTGTGCACGACGCACACCTTTGCTCTCACCCCCCCAGGCTCTTACGAAAGATGGCCTCCAGCTGCACCAGGCAGGAGACGAAGCCGTCGAAGTCCAGCTGCAGCCCCCGGTCCCGGTACTTGCCCGTGACGGCCTCATTCAGCTCCCGGTTCAGGTGGAAACCTGGGTGGGGGAGCAGTTAGACCCCCCCACCCCCCGGCCACGACAGCACGTGCTCCAGGCATAATCCCCCCCACCCCGTCGCGGCCGCGCCGCCCTCACCCGCCGCCTCCAGCGCCAGCCGCATCTCGTGCATGTTCATGGTGCCCGAGCCGTCCTCGTCAAAGCGGGTGAACACGGCCTGCAATGGGGGGGCTCATGGCTCAGACCCCCCCCCGGCCGGGACCACCTCTTGCCCCCTGCCATGTACCCCCCGCCTGTCTCGGGGGCAGGGAAAGTTTCCCCCCACCCTGCTCCCACCTTTAACCATTAGCTCCCAGTCTCCCTGCACTGGGCAAAGGACCCAGGTGTCCTGCCCCTGCCCCAGCTGTGACCATTAGCGCCCAGTGTCTCCTGGGCCGGGGACCCCGTCTGCTATCATGGAAGGCCTCCATGTGCTCCCCCCACCCACAGGTGAGCCGCAGCTTGCCCGGTCCTCGTGCACGCGGCCTCGCGCGACTGCTACAGAGGCCTCGTGCTGGGCGCTGGCGGGGGCAGGACTCGAACTCGCGCCCCGCTCCCGGCCCCTCACCTCCCACTCCTTGATCCTGCTCCACAGGTCCCGGAAGTCCGGCAGGGCCAAGCGGCCCCGGCCCCTGCGCTGGCGCCCGCGGGTTGAGGAAAACACGCCACGGACACGTGTGATGTGTCGTGTCCACCCCTAGGTGCCCTGGGGAGGGGAGGGGAGGGGCGGGAGTGCTGGGTGGGGTCCGGTGCCCCTCAACCATCCCCCACAAGGTGACCTTTGACCCCCCCCCCCCCCCCAAAAAAGAAACACCCAAATTCTGGCCGCTCT